TAGCCGCCCCCGTTACGCCGCCGCCGCAGGGGAGAGCAATGATGATCTTTCGGCGTACGGTCAAAGCCTCCCTTCAGAAACCCCTTTAATGGGGAACCCTGGTATCGCCACTGCAAAGAGGATGGACAAAAGGATTCCGCCCAAGGCCTGATACCGCCAAAGTTGTGACGTTTTGCTACGGGAAAGACGAAACCTGCCAATGCAGGGAAATTCCTTTCCGGCCCTTTAACAGCGACCTTGACGTAGCAGCGCCCGCATACCTGTGAAGGAAAGGTTAACCTGCAAAACCTGTGAGGAAAAGTTAACCTGCAAAATAAGGCATTAACTGAGGGTGGGTAGGGTGGGAAAAGCTCTGGAGCCAAGTGAGGATTCCCAGGTAAGATCCTCCCTCTATTGTGTGGGCAGGTAATCCCTCCCCTACCTGGCCTGATCTCCTTGGCAACGCTTCCCCCAGGTGGGATTGGACAACTGACTGAGGAAGGCGGAGACCTCCAGGTATCCCACCTGAGGGAAGGCAAAGCCAAGCCTATGCTGATGGAGCCGCTCCAGATCCAGGGGCTGCGCGCGTCCACGCAAAGGTCGCCCCCCGTTTTATGCAGGGAGCGGTCATTACTGTGCAGAACCTTCTCTGTATAGTGAAAGAAAAGGAGGAGGAAGAAACAGGAAATCCAGAGGTCTAGCAGAACAGACTCAGGGAGGGTTTGGGCCTCTTAGACTACCCCCTATAAATATAATTCAGCTTAGCTGGCTGACTGGACATTTCTAAAAAATCCAGGTGATGCTTAGATATATCTTCATGGCGTTGTTTATTATTTGCTCACAAAAGGCCCAGATTATTATGATAGGTTTGTTGTCGGTGAAGAGCTTAGGGGGGGAAGTTGCCCTTTGTGATGTAATTGAGGTGAGGTCCTTGCCCTTTAATAGCCCCAACATCTGAGCTCCTTTTTTGTACTAGGTTATGATGGAAATGTTGGGAATTGGCTTCTCCACATCAACAGGATATTTATGAGACACCATTGTACAGAAATTAGTATTAGACTAGAATTACGGCCAGCCCAGGTTCAAATCTCCACTCGGTTTATTTTTGGTCAACCAGTCTCTCTCCCAGTAATGGGTTGTTGTGAGAATAAAATTGGGGGGGGGGTGCAGACAATCCTGTAAGCTTCCTTGAGCTCTTTGGATGAATCATTAAGCAATCGCCATCATCGGTCGTCATTATACGTGATTTAGGATTTTGCTAGAGATGGCATCTTTCTTCACCGGCGTGTCATTGTTGAATACAGTACATTTGTTGGGACCTTCCCCCCCCCCCTCCATTAGACACTCTTGTTTTAGCACTTCTGGGTCCTGGAGGCAGATAGTTCTCAGTGACATGCTTTCAGCTTTGCTTCACTTGTTGGTCCATCACAGCTGGTCCTCTAACCTTCAAGGGACAGAGCACAGGGCTCATCTCTTCAGCCGAGCTTTTGCCGGAGGAACACCAATAGAAGGGAATCAAGAATATCTTGTTATCAGACTCTATCTGCTTTGACAGTGTCAGAAAATGTTTGTGTTTTGTTCCAAATCTTTCCTACATGTGCCCAGAGCCTGCTGGTACACCATGCTTTGGAGGAGGGGAGAAAAAGATCTGAACAGTGTTTTTTATTGTGGAAAGAAGGCAGAGGGACAGGTTTGAGATAAAGGCTCCCCTGGCTACTTGACCACCATTTTGACACCATTAGGTCCTCTCTAGCTTGTTTGCAGCTTGCAATATCTGACTTGTTTTGTCCACACGTTTTACTGAAAATCAAAATTGTTACATGCAGCAGGCTTATGCGTCTGCCGTGTGCATTCGAAAACAGGCATACTCATCTCTGTTGCCTAAGTAGAAAAAAGGGGGGGAAAGATATGTGCTGGTTTTCATTTAAGCTAGTGCTCCCTCAAGCCATATCTATGACAAGAACTATAAGGTGTTAAGTGGCTCTCAGAATCCAGGAATCTGTATCATGAAAGCAAAACACAAGAGCTGGCGTATATAACTTGTGACCTCTTATAGCCCATCAACCCATTTTGGGATGTTCGCCAGGGGCACCTGGTTTTGCTGCCTTCCTGGGACTGAAAATAAACCTCAGGCAGTACACACCTTGTGCAGGGGGTTCTGTTGGGAATGAAAAGGCCGTTGAAGGGTGCTTTTGGAAGCTATGGGATCAAAACCTCTACCCCAGTCTTTCACTATACACCATGCTGAACTACAGAGGAACCAGAGGCAAATTACAGGAAAGGAGAGGGGATTTTGACAAGTGCAGTTGGTCGTTCAGAGGAAAGCTGTTGTATGTACCTGCTGAAACTTCTTGTTGAAAATGCAAAAACCCTATTCTCCTTTGCATTGGGTTACTATACAACTGAACACACACAGAAACACACATGCACGTTTGTGTATATATGTGTACAGAATATGCACACACCCACACACACCATGAAATTCTCAAGGCTCTGGATTAGGCTAGGAATTAGGAAATACAGTAAGTTAGAAATAGATTTGCTCAGGCTATTATAACTAACCTAAATTTTCTAAATGGCTCCCCAGTTTATCTCTGCTGCAGCTGTATCAGACCTTATAATGGGATTAGACACTGCCTTAGAAAAATGCACTCTCCCCCTTAACTGTAGGTTCCTGGCAAAGGATAACATTCCACTTGTTCCCTAATGAGAAGATGAATTTATTTTTCTTTTAGTAACGGCAAGGAGGTAGTGGAAGAACTGAGTCAGAGCTTGATTTCTACAGTGAACTCATTCAAAAATAATAAAGTGGACTTTAAACAGTGATTTTGACCGTATTGCATTCTAAAATTTAATTTAATTTATTTTAAAAATTAAGTTTTCATTCAGAGGAGAACTATTGCTTCTATCTAAACAGTCTTGCATCAGAATCTCCTTCTGGATACAATCCTATTCCCAAAGAATACAAGGAAAACTGAAAATATCATATACATGCTAAGAATTAAAATTATGAAGACCTCTTGTCTCAAATTTGCTAGTGTTATCAAAACTTAAAATCCCTGGATGTTTCAGCTACAAATATTATTGGACTTTTACCTCTGGTAAAAAAAACCCCAGGGGTATGTAAAAGCCCTTTCTGGTGGGATGAGGAATAACTACTTTCATTGAAACACTTGTGTTGGAATTTTATCTGATGTTTTCGTTGATGAGGAGCCATCACATTCATTCTGTTTTGCTTTTAGTGAAATGTCAGTGGGATCTCGGCAATGTCAATTCTCCTCCTCAACTCTTAACTTTATAAAAGAGGAGGTGTGTAAATTAAGGTGTCGCTAGTGGCTTCTGAGTTCAAAATCTGTGTTGACATTTGGCTGACCATCAGTGTTCGAAATTCACCAGGCACATTTTGCTCCTGGCTATTGGCCACTTGCAACCTAATGAAGATGCCAGGATGATAATGATAATTTATTATTTATACCCCGCCCATCTGGCTGGGTTTCCCCAGCCACTCTGGGCGGCTTCCAACAGAATATTAAAAACAATACAGTGTCAGACATTAAAAACTTCCCTAAACAGGGCCGCCTTCAGTTGTCTTTTAAAAGTAAAATAGTTGTTTATTGCCTTGACATCTGTTGGGTCGTACCTTGGAAGTCGAACAGAATCAGTTCCGGAAGTCCATCCAACTTCTGAAATGTTCCACTTCCAAAGCGTGGCTTCTGATTGGCTTCAGAAAGCTCCTGTAGCCAATCGGAAGCCGCAGAAGCCCCGTCAGACGTTTGGCTTCCAAAAGAACATTTGAAAACAAGAACACTCACTTTCAGTTTTCAATCGTTCAGGAGCCAAAATGTTCGACTCTCAAGGCATTCAGGAGTTGAGGTACAACTGTGATTTGTTATGTATAATTTAACAACCATGTGCATTTCTCAATGAACCAGAACAAACGACAATGCCTTTTGTTTTTATCAATCACCCTGCAGTCCTATACCAGTGGGATTGCTGAAGTGCATTCTGAGTCAGAAGAGGTACTCTGTCAACACTTCTATACCTGTCTTCTCAGAAGTGTTGCATTGAATTTAATTGGAGCTATAACCAAGTATCTAAAGGACCGCATCACTGAAGCTTTATTACAGATAAGCAAAGCATGGAAAACAGACCATTCAGGAAATATTTCACAAGAGTGGGACTCAAGAGGCCTAAATACCACAGTGTGTGCTTCTAGGTTTCAAAGGATGTCCAGAATGTATGGCCTTCTCCAGAAACCACAAGATCAGTGTGAAGCTTCAACAAGATACTCAGGATCTGGTTGTTGCAGTCTCTTTTCTCTGTTCTTGTTTTTGGTAAACTCTCTAAGCATCTCCATGACTTCATTTTCAAAGATTTCTGGAGCAGGCTAACGTCTATACCATCTGGACGTGCATGCCTAGGGATCCTTGGATATTGAGTGTTTTCACACACTAGCAACACATCCTGTAGAATTCTATCTGTTATACAGTGGTACCTTGGGTTAAGAACTTAATTCATTCTGGAGGACCGTTCTTAACCTGAAACTGTTCTTAACCTGAGGTACCACTTTAGCTAATGGGGCCTCCCGCTGCCGCCACGCCGCCGCCACGCCGCCGCCACACGATTTCTGTTCTCATCCTGAAGCAAAGTTCTTAACCCGAGGTACTATTTCTGGGTTAGCGGAGTCTGTAACCTGAAGCGTCTGTAACCTGAAGTACCACTGTACTTTATCAGCACAATCAGAATGAATTTCAGGAACCAAAAAGTTGTATTGAAGGACTCTCCTGCTCTCTCCCTCCATTTCCTCTTACGATTCTATCATCTATCTATCTCTCTATCTATCTCTCTATCTATCATCTATCTATCATCTACCATCTATCTATCTCTATCATTTCCTGGTGCCTTGCATATACGTGTTCACGTGTGCGTCAGTTGTGCATAAGTGGGGGGAACACTTGCATCACACCAGTTTAAGCAGTCATGGCTTCCCCCATAGAATCATGGGAACTGCAGTTTGCTAAGGGATAGCTCCATTGGTCAGAGCATGGTGTTGATAATACCAAGGTTGCAGGTTCAATCCCCGTATGGGGCAGTTGGACCAAATGATCCTCAAGACCCCTTCCAACTCTACGGTTCTATGATTCTATGAAGGTGCTGAGTTGTAAAGAAAGCCCCCATTCTCCTTACAGAGCTACAATTCCCAGAGTTTTCTTGAAAGAGGGATTGACAACGATGAGGGGAATAGTTCCCAAATAGTATCCCATTGGGACAGGAAAAATCCCACCACAAACAAGTTCTCCCTCCAACCTCACAGTCAGTTCTGGAAATGCTGTATTACAGCCGTGTCCATTTTCTTAATCTGCTTTAAACTTCAAATATCACAACACTGTCTCCTTGCCTCTGTGGACAACTCCCGAGTGGCAAAATGTTTTACCGTATTTTTTGCACCATAACACTCACTTTTTTCCTCCTAGAAAGTAAGGGGATATGTCTGTGCGTGTTATGGAGGGAATGCCTACGGGTGGCGGGGGGATCTGCTGCAGTCGTGAGCAGAGGATCCATGGTTCCCCTTCCTTCCCTCCTCCGTGGCTCGCTTTGAAACCGCAAAGTGGGAGAAGAGCCACTGAGTGGGGAGGAGAGAGGGACAGAGAGCCTGCTTCTTTAAAGGAGCAAAGCAGGAGAGGAGAGGTTGGTTCCTTTAAAGCAAGCAGGCTCTCTGTCCCTCTCTCCTCCCCACTTCAGCTCGCTACATAGCAGCAAAGTTTTTCAGCTCGCTAAGCCGGGGATGAGCGGGGAGGAGGGAGAAAAGCAGAGCCTGCTTGCTTTAAAGGAGCAAAGTGGGAGAGGAGCCTTCTCCCCTTATACCCCTCGCCTGCATTATTAGCAGCATCCTTCTCCACCCACCCCTCGCGTGCTCCTTGTCCCTTGAGTGCTTTTCCTTCCCTCCCCACTTAAAACGTGGTTACAAAGCACGGATCCACATGGATCCTCAGGATTTTTGCACTGGGTCACCCCAAATTCACCATCAGATCACATAGCATGTCCATGGCTACATCTTGCACCAAAAAAATCACGCGCCCACTGTTGCCTGGGGCCACAGTGGTGCAAAAACATGGTTACAAAGCATGGATCCACATGGATCCTCAGGATTTTTGCATTGGGCTACTCCAAACTCACTGTCAGATCACATGTCTGTGGCCACAGCATGAACCACAAAAATCATACATCCACTGTTTTGTTTAGAATATTTTTTTTCTTGTTTTCCTCCTCTAAAAACTACGTGCATGTTATGGTTGGGTGCGTGTTATAGAGCGAAAAATACTGTATGTTCCATGTTCCATTTCCAACAAAACTCCAGTGACCTTACCTGCTGTTTCCACCACTTAAGCTGAGGGGCGAAGGAGAGAGCTATCTAGCTTTCTTTGTACAGGGCTTTCTGGCACAATTACTTCTGAAACGATACTATGTTCCTCTGTGTGGACTATGGAGAAAGCTGGGAGTTTAAACAGACCATGTAATGAAACACAGCGTTTGAACAAAGTAGAGCCCAACCTGAGGTCACAGGACATAGAAATAGGCTCTAGGTTTCCTCAGAGTTTAAGTCTCTTCAAACGTTCTGGCACTGCAGGGCAAATCTGTTACCAAATGAGGTGCCCCCTGTGCCCTTTGTGGGGAAGAAAATCTGATAATGAGGCAAGTCCCTATTTGCTTATTGCAAAAAAGGTGGGCTAGCGTGGTGCATCTTTTCCATGTATTATGATCTTCAGATTTAAGTCTAGATGTCAAATAAACATACTCCTTCAGCCACCGCAGATCTGTGCATTGTTTATACATCCTCAGGGAGCTGCCAGAGTCGTTTGGAGATACGCAGAGAACAAAGAGCGTTGTGCTCACTGTGATCTATCCTTGTTCCAGATTTAAGCAGGATTACATAGGAGGAAAGCTTTACAGTGAAGTTAAATTGCGGATCTCTCAAATCCTTGCATTATTGTGCACTGGCCTGTATTTAAAGCCACATAGATATGACTTAATTGAGTGTTGTTTCTTATGGAAAGGCACAGAAGCTGGAAAGCTACTGTGTGAGTCCATCCAGTCAAACTAATGCCTTATAGGTTCCCCAGTCATCTGCAGACTAGCCTGCTGTTATACATCATCCCTTGTGGATGGATGTATAAGGCACCCAGAGACCATTGATTAATGGTTTCACCAGTATATTTTTTGCACACTTTACTCTGATATGATGCCGTTTTGTGCACACTGCCTGCCTGGAGAATGGCATTGCAAAATTTGGGCAAGTGTGATTCTCGAAGAATGGTTGTATATTAGTTTGGGTGTTGTTTCCAAACATGAAGTGCAAACCTCACCTTTAAATGGGAACTGAACTGAATTTCTTCACAATTCCTCGTTGTGAAAAACTCTACTGATTTTTTTGCTCCCACGCAATGAAGGGGCAGGCTTATTTTCCTGATCTCTCCTTTCACTTGCAACCCCTTTTGCCACCCCATCTTCTCCAGAGGGTTAATTGGCTCTTCGGAACAGTGTGGGAGTTGGTACAGGATGGGGGCTACTGGTGGAAGGGTAAATCAACAAAAATATCCTCCCCCTCTCTTCCATCCGTGGAAGCATCTACTTGATTGAACCCCTTTTGTGCCTAGAATGAGCCTTTTATTCACACAAATGAAATAATTAAATAAAAACAGGTTTTGGTATCTGGCAACTAAATGTATGAACAGGCTCTGATGCAAAGCACTGCATATTTGAGATGACTGTTTGGCTGCAGCGTGTTATACACGTGAAGGCCCATTCACACATACAAGTCATCAGATGTGCACCAGTCCATGCTGTTACAACCCCCTCAAACAAATCACGATCTGTGGACAAGAGCGGCCATGAGTGGCTGAAACAGCGACTGGCCAGTAGATTTCATAACCCTGAGTGGTTAATTTACAACATGTCCCGTTCCCCCCCCCAGCCGCCGATTTTCGGACAGGGAAAATAAAGGTTTGCTCTGCATTTTCTGTGTGATTTTGAATGAAAACGCATGCTTGCTCTTGGTGCTCTACTCCAGCCCAATAAAAAGAAACACAGACACATGTCTTTATTAGAAATATAATGAGCAGTTCACCAGAGATTTGAACTGTCGCCAAGTGGCCCCTCAAAGCTCTGTTAAAAACAGCTCAGACACAGCCCTACACTTTCTGATGAGGCTCGTGCAGGGCTTGGGCAGACTGAGAAACAAAAGAGCAAGCTAATTCCTTTGGAAGTTAGGGCCCTCAGTGAACTAATAAACTCAACAAGGCCCCGAGCTGTGTACAATGGCCAGCGGAGAGATTTCTGCGGCAGATCCTTGGAGGAAGGTTAAAAGCAGCAAGGAGACTGAGAGGGAGAGGGAGCACTGAAGAGGAAACAAATAAAGCATGCAAGGAAAGTGGAGCTGGGGAGTGAAAACCAAGAAGTCTCTGAAGGAACTTTTCTGATGAGCTAATGCTGCTGCCGAGATGACTTGCCGACTATGAAAGAAAGCCATTCTTAGGCGAATAGCGACAGAGTTAGCTGCGCCGTCGATTTGAATGTTGCCTGTTTGTCTCTGCATCACAGCCTAGCATTTTCCACTTGGCTTTCCAAGGAGATCAGGCCTCCACACACATCAAGAGGAGGAATTGTTCAGTTGAGACAGGAATCAGTCGGCGAATTCTCCCCCTTCCCTTCTTCACAGGAGTTTTACCACAGCAACTTTTCTTTGCAGAATTGGAAGGGTCCATCAGATAAGGGGCAATCCTGCATAGCCCATGTGAGAACCAGCTCCAGGATTGAGGGGGCCCAGGCCCAAGTGACCCCTGGTGGGCCCCCAGATGGATGGATTAGTATATTTCCATCAGTTTACATGTGTTCCTTCATGGGTCCATTCCGTTTCTAAATCAATCTGTGTTTTAAAAGAAAACACAGAAAAACATGTATTAAAATATTAATTTTATCACAAAATATATGTTCATTTTATCTTTGTGTATGCATTTATAAATGTATCTCACCCTAAAATATGTAATTTTTAATTTACTGTGGTACGTTATTTGATATATATTGCAAAATCTGGAGACAAGTGTGAAATTGTGGTTTGTCAGACAAACCATCAGCCTGGGTTCAGACAACATTCTAAACCGCATGATGACTTAGCTCCCAAAAATGCAAAACGGCCACAATCTCATTTGCAGAGTTCATACAGAGTTTTGGACATGTTCGTGCTATGCTGTTGTTTGGCTCAGCATTATCTTTATTTTTTAGATGTTCCCAATTCTAAAGTACTGAATGTATTTTGCTTCCTCTTTTAGTTCATATTATCAGTTTTCGTCTGTTTATTTAATTTACTTTATTGTTATAGCATTTGATTCAACTCTTCTGTTTTATTGTAAAATTTACAGCTGTAACAATGGGAACATTAGAAATACATAAGATTTTACAACGTGCATGTGGGAGCAGTCAAAGATAGAGTTCTGGAGTGCTAGGATTTCAGCGAACTATGGGTAATAGGTTTAACTCAGAATAGACCCATTGAAATTAATGAACAAGTCCACTAAGTTAATGAGTTTGCTCTGAGTAAAACTCACTGGAATACCACCCTATACCACAACATTGAATATATACTTTGGACTGTGTCCAACAATACTCCGAGTCGACCCACTGAAATAAACAGAGATAACCAACTTAGGTCCATTAATTTCAGTGTGTTTACTCTAAGTGGAATTTAGTTGGATACAACTCATTGTCTCTAAGTGTACAGGTGGAGTAGGAAAGGATTTTTGGAGATACAAGAATGGCAGCCCTGAATATTTCTTTACTGTAGCTGCCCCTAAGCAGAGTGCTGCAATAGCTGCTACGATGCTTGAAGCTGCTTGTGTCACAAAAGCTATAACAGAGTGAAGTCAGGAGAGAAAAATATGATAATGCACCGATGGTTGCAAGACTCTTAAGACGATGCAAATATTCAAAGAAGCCGAGAAAATCCTTTTGGTGTCACTGCTATTTCCTTTGTTTTGCTTTAATGTAGTTATTTATCTGGACTTCAAATGGATTTGCATGCAGACGCGATGGGAAGAAATCTTGCAT